GTTAAGATAAAAATAAAATATATTTTGAAAAATTTAAAAACATAAATTATTATAATAAAAAAATAAATAAATGATTATAAGATAAAGTTAATTATTATACATAAATTTTTATAAAATCAAGTTAATTAAGTCATGTGTCTGTATCGCCGACCCTCGTTGTATGCTACAACTATTTTTCTCGCGGTATTTTCAAAGCTCACTTCCAAACACGTTGATCATCATAAAATACCTTCAAATTCTCCAACATCTTGTCAAAATTTTGTTGGCGTAGTTCGTATCTTGTTTCATAATATATATATTGTGTTAAACCTCAATTAAAAAACACATAAATCATTACATAAATGTTGAAAATAAAACAAATGTTGAAAATAAAACTTACCAGTGCTTACTATCTCACTACGAATGCGGGTGTTATGAAACTGATCGATATTATTCTTACTAATATGGCAGATACAAAATGTGGGATATGCATGCAGTGGTATCCAATGACTTCCTGGTCATTCAATTGCAACCAAAATGTTTGTTCCTCGATCAAATATCAAGAAAACTCCATCTTCTCTAATGACATATTGATGTAGATTGGTCAAAAAGAAATCTCATACCTCTGTTGTCTCTTATTCAATAACAGCGAATGCAATTGGGAAGATATTTCATTCACCATCTTACGCAACTGCCATCAACAATACATGCTTATATTGACCATACAACCACGTACCATCAACTTGAACCATACATTTGCAAAATGGAAATCGTTCTATGCATGACTTGAATGCCCAAAAGAGTCTATGAAATATTTTCTTCCCTGGAACAAGTTGACCTTCTTCGTCATATGTAGGCATGGTTTGAGACTTCACTATGGTCCCCTGGATGAATCGCTTCATTGATTGTAACAAATGTGGTAGCTCATTGTACGATGTATCCCAATCTCCATACGTCAGCTTGATTGCCTTCATTTTTGCATTCCAAACCTTGTCGTATTTTACTTGGTATCCAAATTGGCCTCGAATATATGCATATAAAACTGAACAAGGGATCCTTGGATTATTCTCAACCAATACCTTAACGTATTCACGTATTATATTGGAGTCCAATAGTTTGTGGTCTTGTTTGATTGAGTTTCGCAAACATGTGTAAGGATCATTATACCTTGTGATAGCCCAAGCATCGTGCCTCTGAATTTTGGACACTCTGATATTCCACTTGCACTTTGGATCATATTTAACACACACTGCATATATGATTTTTTGGTTGGACTATACAATAAAGACATCAACATGGTATTTGATGCAATACTCTTTAATCGCCAGCGTAGTTTCATATTTTCCTCTAAATTACATCCCAACCGAAAATTCACCAGAATTTTTGAATGATTCAACCATATGGTTTGGAGGTATATGTGGCATGTCTGGGAATTTTGGTGCCCTCATCCCATCATAATTTATCTCGTACATATGAGGGGTATGTTGATACGGTGTCAGAACTTCATCAGTGGCCAGGTTAGGTGCACCACCACATCCAAAATTATAATCGTCGGCCAAAATGGGTTCCTCAGTTTCTTTATCTTCGCTGGAATCATCATGGATTTATCCCCATCGATTTTCAGCATCAACATCAACAGTAAATTCAGAGTTATATATGTTTCTCTCCTCGTACTTTGCTACTGCGGATGTTCCACCGACTTCATTTCCACTTTCCAATAGCACATAAAATTATTTATCGATATGTGTGTAGGGTCCTCAAACTCACTTTTGAAATCCATTTGAGATGAATTTTCGACCACAATTCTTGATGACCTAGGAACATCATATATCTTATGCACATCAACAAATAACTCAATAACTGAAATATTTGTTGACTCATGTAATTCATTCACGATTCCAATATCATCATCTTCTTCAACTGGTACTGCAACATATCTAACTGGATTGGACATACCAAGAACCTATACTTCAAACCATCAACTGTAGCTCGAATTTTCTTTTCTATCATATACTTCATTTTTACAAATGTGATGTCCCTTTTGAACATCATATTTATAGGTCTTTCACACTGAAAAATAACTTCGACCTCATTTTCCATAATATGTCCATTATAATGAACAATCGTGATAAAGTTGTTGCTCATTTTCTCTACAAATTCAAAATTTGTATTTATAATGAAAAAAATATGGTACGCTATGATCATAAATCGTAAAAATGATATATATAATATAAAAATAATATTAACATAACAACAATCGTAAAATTAACATATATTAATAAAAATAATATTAAAATAATAATCAATAGTAAAATACCTCAAATAAAATTTCTTCAAACTTAATTCACCTTCGTTATGCAAAAACAAAATTAACAAACTATTAGACTAATATCAGAAAAAAACTGAAATTTAAATCAATTTACCATATAATACATACTCAAATTAGAATAACGAAAGAAAAAACACACCAAATTTTCAGAAATGCTCCCTTTGTTAATCTTCTTTGTAATTGCTTCTGCTCCCTCTATCAATTTTTTGAATTGCAATTGCCCCAATTTCATTCTTACATATATATAGTTTAGAGACATTTTTTTAGCCGTTCAACTTGTTATTACAGGGTATGTGTTACGATATGATAGGAGTATGGCTTAAAATTTTATCATTCGAATGCCAGCTACCTATTGTACCTACGTGAGTGGCATGTCATGCGACTTCGCCAGCCACGCGAGGCGACCCTGAGGAGATGCATGCAACCATTTGCAACCCGACCCCCTTGGGAGACGCATGGGTTAAACTTTTATCATTGGAATGCCATCTACCTATTGTACCTACTTGAGTGGCATGTCATGCGACTTTGCTGGCCATGTGAGAGAACCACGAGGAGACACATGCGACCACTTGCAACCCAGCCAAGGAGAGTGGCCCTCTTGGGAGATGCATGGCAAGCCATTGTCACTGAAAAACCTCAAGATATCCTCTTTTAAGTCCCATTTCCCCCTACATAGAAGTCACTGAAAAACCTCAAGATGTCCTCTTTTAAGTTTGACAAGAATTTTTTTAAAATCCCATTGTCAACCCATTCGGCCCTGGCGTCTTGTTATTATCTGAGGATGATATTACGTCCCAAACTTTTTCCCCCGAGAATGGTCTTTATAAAAACAAATTATGCTCATATGAAATATTGGAGAAATTGAAATCCAATACCTCTACCTCAACTGTAGGATTCCTATTATAAGCTTATTTGAAAAAATTTAATACGCTTGATTTAATAACTTCAGGATCCGTTGTTAGTTGACCACCCACTTTCATCATTTTAATAGCGTTCACCCTTCCTCTATTTGCAGTACGCCTATGAAAAAAATCTAGTGTTACGATCGCCTTCCAAACAACATTTCACACGAGATTTCTGCAGCCAAACCATATTTTCTTTTTTGTATAGATTCCAAAGTTTCATTCTCACCAAACCCAAAGATTCATTAGAGACCAAAGATAACCCTTGTTACATGTCAAGTTCCGAATCATGTATAAATTTTTCCAATTCTGAGATGGATCCTTGCATTTTACTAAAATTGGCTTTAGACCACTCCTTCATAGTCGTTGTAGAACATTTTAGTATTCTGGAAATCCTTTTTCTTCTACTGCCCGTCTTGGCTTTTTGAAATTCCTCCACCATTATTTCTTCGAAGCCTTCCTCTTCTAGCAAATAATTGAACAACCTAAATGGTTTTGGGCCCCAATCCAAACCTTTACTTTCCAAGCTAATGGCATTATGGTCAGATAAAAATTGTACGAGAAGACTTTGATTAAGTAATGGAAACACTGACAAGAAACTTGATTATACTAGAAATCTGTCCAATCTAACAAAGGTAGAGATTTCCCTATTGTTACACCAAGTGAAGTTGCCACCCGACAGAGGGAGATCATTCAGACTAGCCCTCTGCACAAACTCATTAAAGATTCTCATCATGAACCTGTTATGATCTCTCCCCATTTTCTCTTCTTGTGACAGATGCGCATTGAAGTCACATCCCAAACAAAAGGGATTATCCAATTGCAACACAAAAGACAACAACACCTCAAAGAAAGGTTCTTTCTCTGAATCCACTGATAAACCAACATTTAACATATAAATCTTTTATATTACCTTTGACTACAATAAACCTCTCCTGAACACATTCGACCTCCACCTCCATTTTGCTTTCTTCCCAAAGATTTATCAATCCCCTTGCTGACTCTACCACAAGAGATTTTGCATACCCACTCAATATATTCCCTTCTAATCTCCTTAGTAATGAAAAATTGATCTTCTTTACCTTTAATTACTGGATAAACATCAATACTGGTTTATTCCCTATTATAATATTTCTCACAACCCATGCTTTTTATCTTCTCCCCAAACCCCTCACATTCCACGATAATATACTTAAACTTGACATAAGAATGGGTCGGGTAAACTCGAATCAACAACCGAAAGGTTCACCAAGAGGGGTCGGGTCGATTTTTGTGTTTAGGGAGTAAGGAGATTGAAAGATAGAAAATTGCACAACGATTTATAGTGGTTCGACTTCTCAACCAATCTACATCCACTACCTTAGCTCCTCACCAAGTATTTTCCAAAAAATTCACTAATTTATTCTTTCTTTTTACAGGACAAAGAGATAACCTTAACAACCTTGCGATGGAGCTTGAAACATTCCCAGAAAGCACTTCTACTAACTCTTTTACTCAGATTATCGAAAAAGGCAGACCAAGGGACTTTAGTAGGGAGAGAGCCTTGAACTGACTTTTCACTTTCCATGGAGCAACTATTAACTTCTTAGGTAATTGCAATTTTATAAGAAGTTTGAAAATATACCTTCATCTGGTTTAGTTAATTCAATTGGTGGTTTCCAAGATTCTTTGAGGAAGGCATCACTGTCTATATTTCTGGAGTATCTTCAGGTCGATCAAGCATCAATAAAGAATCCAAAGTGTGTAACTTATCCACTGACATCCTTTGGATACTCCAAGAGCACAAGTGATGCGACAGGATTGTTATACCCACATTGAAGGTAACTCAACCTCTTGATCCCTTCCTCAAAAATCTGGATGCCGTCCAATTCCATCACTGAGTATTTTGTATCTGTTTCAAAATTTACTGCTAACCAAGGAAAAATATCAGAAATATTATATTGTATTTTGAAACCTCTAGTTTTTCTTGCTATGAATTAACTATGAAAGATTATTATAATATATATATATATATATATGTTGCTGGTGATGCATATTGCAGACAATTGAAATTCTTTTCAGCAAAAGGATGTTGTTGGATATTGAGGTTAGTTTCTCTTTTTCTGAAATATGTGAATCTTTTCCGTGGTTCTTTTGTAATCATTATGTTATAAATTTGGCCGAGATTTCTTGCGTAAAAAGGGAACCGTTTTAAAATTTGATATCTTTTCAAATTTCTGCCAGACGAGAGTAATTCTTATCTTCATGGTGGTATGAAAACCTTGTTAATTAAAATTTCATCTTGGTATCATAATTTGAAGAGATTAAGTAATGTGCTGACTTATGTGGCTTTGGGGGTATTGTTAGGGAAACTTCCTTATGGCTTGAAATACCCTTTAAAACACAGGACTTTGCAGAAAAGGAACTGGATGTTTAGGGAAGCTTTGAAGTTTTATCAGTTCCTTTATTATTACTATAGAAAATTGAGGAATAATTGTGGTTTAATGGTTCATTTGTTTAGATATCAAAACTATGAATCCTTCTTCGGAGTGCATTTTAAACCATAAAAATGAAATTTTAACTTACAGGCTCATACTTCGGTTGTCTGTTCCGGTGTTTTGGATTCCCTGGCGGTTGAATTGAAAGCGTCAAAGGACTTCTCCAAGTTATATGCAGGCATAGCAATACTTGGTTACATTTGTGCAGTTTCCGATCCCATCTGCTCCCGTGCCTTTTCTCATCTTCTCACGCTCCTCACTCATCGGTACCCTAAGGTCTGTTTTGATGACTGTACTTGTTGAACTATAAAATCATATGTTATTCCGACTTTTCATTTTTCCTTGAATACCCCCTGTTCTGTATTTGTTTGAGCATGAGTATGAAGATACAGTCCTTCAAAATTATGGAAAATTTAGAAAAGAAATATGTGATGGACATATATATCTGCATTATATCTTTTTGTTTCATAATATGTCCATCATCTACCAGATTCGCAAAGCTGCTGCGGAACAAGTTTACCTCGTCCTGCTGCAAAACGAGAGTCTGGTGTCGGAGGAAAATACGAAAAGGTACTCCAAATTGTTTCAGAAACTTCTTGGGATGGTGACTTGGAAACAACAAAGGTTAAGAAGATGGAATTGTTAGAAATTGTTGGTGTGGATGCTGGAGTTGGACAGCTAAAAACTACTTCAAATGTAACATCAAGCAAAGCTGGTAAGAAGTCAACAACTGTAGATGAAAATGAATCCTACTCTTCAATAGTTGAGTCCACTGGGTTTTGATTTGCTTCTTCTAAAGCTTGAACCAGCCGTCTGTTGTATTCCCCTTTGATTAATGAACTTTCTTTTTCTCATGATGATCAATTTTGTTTTAGAAATAGTAATATTTAGAATTTAAAAACATTGATTTTTTAATATGATATATCTTAGAGTTTCTTCTTCGAGGATGAATCGGGATTGCAAAAACCGAACCAGCCCGATAGAATTGGTATTTTCGCTAGTTGGGAACATACCATCCATGAATGAATCGAGTCCATCTGAAAATTTAAAATTGTCATATATTTTATATTTTTTATATATTTTCTATTAAAAATTTGTTTTCAATAATCTTTCATAGTTCGCCCCAACATCAAACCATGCGTCCGTCCGTGATACCATCTAATTGAAAATGTTTCAATCCGAACTAGATAAAAAATGACAAAATGGGTAATTACATATTTTAATTTATACACATTAAGGGATCATTTGCATAATTTACATATTTTGTACATTGGGTCTCGATAGCATTGAATGGGTGTTGATGTTGAGTTATACAGATATTTTAACATTGGTATTGATACTCGCCAACTATTATAAACATTAAACCTCATTTCAATTTCAATATCACAAGGACAATACAAATATTGAGACCCGATATCAATATCAAAATGTTATATTGTAATTTCAATTTTCACTATGATATTCACTGCACAATATCAATTTCGTTTGCACCAAATGGTCAATCTACCGATTAAACATGCTCAATCATCCATCAAACTTAGTCTAAATCACATATAACATATTTCCAACATCACATGTAGAGATGAAAAACATACTAAATCCTCCAAAGTTCCAACCATTTGCATATGCATTTCAATCTTGTACAAAAGCTTACTTCTTTACCAAAATAAGCATTATATGATGATTATAATTACATTCACCACAAAATACCATTCAAGCATTGAAGTTTCGAGTTCTACTCCTAAGGGTTGAGAACCCAATAAAACTCCATCTACTGTATCCAATCGATCTTGGGTTTAGTTTATTGCAGGCACTCCCCTAAAGTCAAGAATTCCAACTCATATGTATCATGTTCGAGGTCGTGAAGAGGAAGATGCACCCGATTTTATCGTGGGTACTTTTAAGTTGTTTTTTAGATCTGTTTATGCATTAGTGGATCCATGATCCTCTCATTCATTTATTTGTTCTTCATTGATTAAAGAGTTCCAATTAACTCTGATACCAACTAAAACTGAGATCTTAGCTACTAATCTTTTAAGGGATATTGTACTAGTGAACCCAGTGTGTCCCTTGAAGATTCAAGGAGTCAAATTCTTTGTAGATCTTATGGAACTACCCTGTATGAATTTGATTTCATTTTGGGTTTTGATTTTGTTTACAAAGGAATTTTAGAAACAAATGGTGTAAGTGCTAGAGAAGCTGAATTCACGTCTTATAAGCCCACCAACAATATAATTTCGATCAGGAGTCATTAGAAAATGAAGAAAGCATGTTCGTGCCATATTCTCTATTTTGCTGTAGGAGAAACGGGAAAAAAATGAAAAACTATGGAGGAAAGGATGACTTTTGGTCAAATTAGTATTTTTATAAATTTTAGAGTTAAAATTAAAAATTAAACCTTTTACTCTATTGTAGTTCACTCATAATTAAATCCGACAATTTGTTGGGCCTGTATAGATTGGGCGTTGGACAGGATTTTGCAAATTCAGACCCGCCCCACCCATCCAAACCTTTTATTCTCTAGTCTCTACACTTCGTCCTATATTTCATCTCCGGTAGCCGGATTTCCTCGTACGACGCATTTATCCCCTTATTTTGGCGTTCGTTCAAATTTCCAGTAACATCCATCTTGCTTGTTTTATTTTCAGTTCGCCTCTCTCCCTCTTCATTTTTTTGTGCATTATCTGTCGAGAATTTATGGGTCCATGGAATTTTATGTTCTTTTGTTTTTGATGATATTTTGAGTATGTTCTTCTGCTGATTTTGGTTTTCAATTTATTAAGGAAGCTTCTTGTAATTTGCATACTCTACCCTAACTTGAACTAGAAATGTATATGATCCTATTTTTTTTATTTAGGAAAAAAGTTTTTTTTTTCGTTTAGTTGTTGTTTAATTCGAATTTACCAATGGTTTTGCTTTTCTACTCTGCAACCCACACCCAAAAAAAAATGTTGCGAATTTTGGAGGGGCTGAATATCAAAAGCAATAATGAACTAGAGCCTTGCTTCTTGTGTTTTGATTATTTATTGATTCCCCACCACTGGTATGATTCTGGGTTGTGCAAGTGAGTTAATGTTTTGGGTCATTGTATTAAATGACTGACATACTATTATTGAATTGATGTTTTGGGTTGTGCAACTGAGTTAATGGTTTCTTTGCAGCTAAGTTTGCGAGTGTTTCCGTTATTCGCAATGGAGAAGGATAGGTATGATAGGGAAGATGACGCTTCTAGATAACGCTGCGACGGAGGAGCCTACAGTGATGAATTAGAGCGAATCGACAAGCATCAGAATAAGGACAAGAAGAAGAGCATTTGAGAAGAAGAAAAGGATCACCGAAGTAAAGATAGAGACCGTTCTAAGAGAAGCAGCGATGAGGTCTTGAAAGAAAGGGAGAAAGAATCCTCGGAAAAGGATAGAGTGTCAAGCAGGGAGAGGAGGAAGGATGACAGAGATGAGCATGGGAAGGACAGAAGTAAAGATAGTAAGGTGAGGGAAAAAGAGAGAGATTATGACAGGGACAAGTATAGAGATAAAGAACATGAGCGTGAGAGAGAGAAGGATCGAGGAAAGGAAAATGACAGGGAGAGGGATAAAAAGTCTGAGAAGGAGAGGGGAAAGGATAAAACTAGAGATAGGGACAGAGAAAAGGAAAGAGACAAGGTGAAGGAAAGGGAAAAGGAGAGAGAGAAACTTAAGGATCGAGAGAAGGAGAGGGAAGGTGAGCAGGATAGAGATCGAGAGAAGGGAAAGGAGAGAAGTAAACAGAAAAGTAGAGAGGAAGATTACGAAGGAAATAAAAATGGAGAGCTAGCATTAGAATATGAAGAGAGTAGGGATAAGGATGGAGTTGATTTGAATGCCTGAAGCAATTCAGGTGTATTGCAGGCATCTTCATCAGAGATTGAGGAGTGCATTGTGAGGTGAGTGGATCATTTAGTCATAGTTGGCCTTAACTTGCCTGCATGTTAGACAAATTTTTATTGCTTCATTCCATCTTTTATGAACTGTTACTTGTCATGTAAAATTAATACTCTGAAAATGATTCTGCTATAGCATATTTTAGATGGGAATATTAAGATCATGCAGTGATTTTGAACTTCATTTTTATAAAGAATGACTATGATACTTGAGTCTTTAAAATATTTGGTGACCAGGCCAGAAGGTTCTCTAGTTGCATGACTCCGGCGTTATATCTCAATTTGATGACATAATTGGTCTTTGCTTTCGGATAGTGTATTCAAAGTCTTGTTTGTTTTTCTTAATTTTAATGCTTAACCTAATGCAAGTATTTATTTTTGTCTTTTCCTTCTATTTGTCTGCTCAGGATGAAAGAAAGATTGAAGAAGAAATCTGAAGGTATTTCAGAGATTTCAGCATGGGTCGGTAAAAGTCGTAAAATTGAGGAGAAAATTAATGCTTTTTTTTTTATAAGAAATGTAGACCTCTTTAAAAATCCCCTTCATGATTGCTAAGACACCATAAGGTGTACCAGAAATCAACGGAAGGAGGAAAAGAGTGTACAAAGCCGAAGATTACAACCAGAAAATTTAAACACAACAGATACAACCACAAACGAGAACAAAATAAAAAAAACCCCAACCCTACTTCCTAGCTTAGCCAATTCTAGACTTTGCTAAAACATATGCCTCTATGTTAGCTGGCCTAGCTATCTAGTGGATAATGCCTTCCAAGTTCCTAATCTTATCCGCAATTTCTTTCGAAATTGAGACGTACAAGCTGGGGAATTTATCCAGATTTTTTATCCACTCCACAGACAATTTACTATCACTCTCCACAATCGACCATCCCTTAGAGCACTATTTAGGAGATTCGAAGAACAATAAACCATGTTTAATGACCTTCAATTCCATAAAAGCAGGGGGACCCAGACCAGCAGTTTCTTGAAAAGAACCCAACACTGTACTAGACTCATCTCTTAAAATCCCACCCGAACTACTAGCCTCCCAACTACTATTGACAGCATCATCCACGTTCAGCTTAAGAAAACCCCCTGGGGGAGGGGACCAGAGCAATTGTTTAGCTCGAAGACATCCTGAAACAGAACAAGAATCACCGAGCGTTGGGTCACCAATAAGGAAATCCCTTGAGATGGCATTGTTGGAGAATTTAGCTAAGAACCAAGAAGCTAATATGAACTTTGCTGTAAAGAACAATTGAACCTGATCGAATACATTTTGCTCGAAAACAATGGCATTCTTGTATTTCAATATCGTCCACAACACTACACCAGGGATAAAAGTCCAAATAGTAGAATTAGGCATCAATTCCTCCCAAGCAGAAAGAAAACAGTGAGCATTCTCATGTAAAACAACATAAACTTTCTACAATTTCAAGAACCTATTCCATAAACCCCATATAGCAGTACAAAAGAAGAATAGGTGTGGGGAGGACTCCAGTTCTATTATGCAGAAAGGATGTAAGGGATCCAAAATCCTCGATACACCCAAAGTTATCAAAGGCTCAAGGCACATCGAGGTGCAAAGTGTCCTGGAGCATTGAGGCGCGAGGCGCATGAAAGGCGCGGGATTCACGAAGGCGAGGCGCATGATATCCAAAAAATTGTAATACATGTATATATTAATGCAATCAAACTCAAATATCATAGATACCCAATATTAGGCTTCAATAGAGTTCATTCTCAAACTCAAAATACCAACGTAACTTCATAAAAGCTATCAACAAGCATAATAAAGTATTAAGTACAATGTCACGTTCAAATTTTTTAAAAATAATTTTAATTTTTTTTATTTAAAAAATAAGGAAATATAAACGTGACACTTGTCATTTACGTTTTTATTAACAGTAGACATCTAAAAGTGTAACGGAATAAACGTTATACACTTATTTTTAATAAAAAAATTTAAACATAAAAAATTAATTTTAAATATGATTTAGACATTTAATTTTATATTAATCATTATTTAGAAAAGGTAAAAATAGAAATGTTGTTAGACGTAAATTTTTAATTACGATTAAATTAATATAAACAAATATCCACATCAACCGGTCACAAAACATTCCACGTCATGACTTTATCCATTCCACACAAGTAGCCGCTACAACTAAAGATTTTTCTTCCCGCTAATCAAAATACGGCGCGTCACCATAGCTTTTGTGTTTAAAATTACGCACTACTCACTTCCTCATTTTCTTCACCTTCTTATTCGTACGAAGACAAACCACTGTTCAAAATCCCCCTCACCAACCTTTTTATTCTTTGTAGAAAATAAACCCAAATAAGACAGCGGAGGATGAACAACACCCATCCATCGCCACCGTGAACCGTCGTATCCAGCGGTTGTCCCTTCACCTGACCCCACTTCCACCGCTTCAACCTTCACCCCAACTCAACATGCTAACATGCGCCAAGTCGGCCAATAAACTCGAGGTTGACAAAGCCTCGCTGAAGAGCTACAGGAGAGGGAAAAACAGGGAAACACAAGAGAAAATCATCGAGTTCTTCGAGTCGAGGCCCGATTTGTAAACCTCGGTAGGGATTCTAATGAAGGAACACAAGGTTTTAAGCCCACATCGTGCCTCAATTGCGCCTAGGCTATGTGCCTCGCTTCAGTGTTGAAAGCCCCGTTTAGTGAGCCTCTGCGCTTTTGCGCCTCAGGCGCGTTTTTTACAACTATGGATACACCTCTATTTAATAATTCAGTCTTAATTGTCAGTTTTTGATGGACAACTTGCCACATGAAAGTTTCCACTCTTGGTGGCACCAATCTCTTCCAAAGATAACCCTTCCAAAAATGGTCTACAATCTGATCAGTGGAGCATGTTTTCAAGCAAGAGTTAACTGTGTAAAAGCCATCCCCATTCCCTCTCCACAATAGACCATATCTCAAATTCTCCGATTGGCTTACATTGCTGATTATTGCCATCAGTTTGGCCCATTTATCAACCTACCAGTTACTCAAATTCCTCCTCATCTTTACACGCCAAACCCAGCCTGAATTTCCAAATTAACCAAACTCCCTTAAATTCCCATTTTGATTGAAGAGAGGGCAAAAAGTCTAGGGAATAATTCTTTGAGGGAGGATTCCAAAGCCCAAACATCATGCCAGAAGCTAATATTCTCCCCATTCCCCACTCTGATTCGAAACTGGAGCCACAAGAGTCATCTTTAAAAAAATTGTTCACCACCGATCTCCACATCCATGAAGCCTAAGCTGGTAAACTTTTATTAAGTAGCAACGATCTTTGATTTAGCTTGTACTTGCTACATGTCAACTGCCTTCACTCGGAATCCTTTTCGTTTGCAAACTTCTAAAGAGCCACTTTCTCAAAAGGGCTTTATTCATTAGATTGAGATCCAACACTCCTTGTCTCCATTGTCTTTAGATTTGCAGACAGTCTTCCAGTTTACCTAATGTATTTTGTTCCTCTCTGATCCTCCTCCCCATAGGAATCTAGCCATGATGGAATTCAACTTTCTGTACATAGTGGATGGGAGCTTGAAAATCTACAAGAAGTTGGTTGGGAAAGAGCACAAAACCGCTTTTAATAAAACCAATCTCCCTACCAAAGAAAGAGTTGTTGTCTTCCAACCCGTTTCCTATAAAACTTTTGTAAGACAGGTTCCCACAGAGATGTTGAATTTCTCTTAGCTCCGAGTGGAAGACCTAGATATTCAGATGGAAATAGGCCTAATATGCATCCAATAGAACATGCCCAATCCTTCACCTCATCTTCTCTTGTATTTATGCCAAATAAACTGCTTTTGAAGAAATTCAGTTGGAGACCCGACATAACTTCAAAAACAAGTAAAACTCTCTTCACATTTCTAATTTGTGTCTTCGAAGCGTTGCAGAAGACTATAAGGTCATCTGCAAATTGCAAATGCGATAATTTGAAAGATCTATCATTCCTTCCAATTTCAAAACCGCAAAACAACCCAGTGGAAACCGCCTTCAACAAAAACAAATTAAGCAGTTCCCCAATCAAATTAAATAACAATGGAGAGAGAGAGAGAGAGAGCAACCCTCTCTAAGTCCCTTACCCATTGAAAATTTCTCAGAAGGAACCCTGTTTACTAAAACCAAGACCGTATCCAAAGTGACACATTTACTCATCTAGTTGTGCCATTTCACCCCAAATCCCATCTTCTCCATTACTTTGAACAAGATTGACCTATCAACTGTGTCATAAGCTTTTCCAAAGTCCACCTTAAACACACCTCCCTCAAGACCTTTCCTCCTCTAATATTCAATCCCTTCATTGGTGTCAGAACCGTATTTCGGTTGGGCTCGAAATTGGGCTTCGACTTGGATTAAATGCTTAGGAGTCGCCACTGACCATTTTAAAACGAATTTAGGTGGGTCGGACATCATCTTATCTGATCTATGTTGTACCAGAAACGTGTCAGGTTCGAGAGTCGGTTACGGTCAAAAAAGAATTAGCACCCTTAAACTGCCCTTTCGGTACCAATTAATTTATCGGTTGTCTTTAACTAAATTTAAAAATCCGATTCAAATTGCTTACCTTTGATTGATTGAAATTTTTCTAAAAAAAGATCGAAAATGTTAGTCAATAAATAATAAATAAATGTTAAATAAATCAAAGAAAAACGTAGAAAAAATAATAAAAAGAAAAATAACAAAATAATAAAATCAAAAGAGAAGAAATGAAATAGAATAAAATAAAAAATAGGAAAAAAATAAAAAATAAATAAAAATATACGTAGAAACAAAATGAGATAAAATAAAAAATAGAAAAATTTAATAAAAAAATAATAATACTAATGATAAATAAAACAAAAAATATATATATATATATTAATGATAAAATGGACTGAATTGAAATAAAACCAAGTTTGAGGGTCAATCTCAAAGTAAATTGAAGAAGGAATGAGAATCCAGGGGTAAAATATAATGCTTACAAAATAGGGGGGACCAAAGTTGCAATTCCCCCCTTAATTCACGAAAACCCACGGATCTTCTACTTTCCCAGGTCAGTTCGTGGGTCGGATCCGGGTTACATAAAAGCCAAAATAACGCCCAAAAAATTCATTTCACTCATTCTCCCTAAATAATAATCCAACTACCTCCTAAATCCTCTGAACTCTCTCAACGCCCAGAACACAATGTAAACCCGGCCACCACCCCGATGGCCAAGCGCTGCCCAACGTTGTCGAAAATCACTCCGACCACCACTCACGGTGGCCGGTAAAACCCAAAATTTACCCAATCGTTCTTCCCGTCACCCGAAGCCAAAATCGAAGCCCAAATCACCTAAAATGCCTTGAATGACGTAGATCTAACATGAAAGGTTTGGGTTTTACCTTCTCTCGGTGTGCCCTTTCGGCTTCTTGGCGAACCTTCCCCTTTTAGTGTCTGATGCCTTTTTGTGCGGTGGGCTTTGGTTGATTTTTTATGGTGTTGTATTTGGGTTATTTTTCTCTCTGTGTTTTGGTTGTTCGATGATGTTATCGTGTTGATGGTTTGGTTCACTATTTTCTCGTGGCTATGTTGTTATGGGTTTCGATTTGCTGTGTTTGGGGTACTGTTGATGTTCTCGGTTTTGTGTCGATGCTTTGGTACCCCGTACTGTTGGCTTCACAGAGGCTTTTATAGCTCGATTTTGGTCGTTTGGGTCCCTACGATCTCAGGATCATGGTTGTTGGTTGTCTGAGATCTTCGTGCACGTTACACCGATCACCTCGGGATGGTTCAGTCCCGTTGGTACTGCCGAAAAATGCGCTGGCCGGTGGTTTGCTCCCTTGCAGCACCGTTGACCTGTTGAATGGTTATGTTAGGGTTTTTCAAACCCTAATGGTCTTGGGCTGGTTCAGGCCCTCCAAACTGGACTGTATTGGATTGGACCTAGAAAAAAATAAAAAGAAATTAAATTAAAAAAGAAGATAAACAAAAACGTATAATAATAATAATAATATACTAATAATAATATAATATAAATTGCATCTGTTGCTTACTAAAGCAGTTGACATAGGACTGTTTTCAGGTTTCGATGTAGGTGTTCATGATAGGGCATTTAAGCTTTCGCATTTGCAATTTGCGGATGACCTTATAATTTTAAGTAAAGGCTCTATTCGTGACTTGAGGAATGTCAGAAGAGTGTTATTAATATATGAGTTAATGGTGGGGTTGAAGATTAATCAAGTCAAGAGTAGAATTTATGGTATCAATGTTGAGGATGGGGCGTTAGCTACTTGGGCGAATGATATTGGTTGTTCGGTAGGAAGTTTCCCATCAGAGTATCTAGGTTTACCCTTGGGCTATAAGAGAAATTCGGCTGCCATGTGGGAGCCAATAGTGGAGAGATTTCATGCTAAGTTAAGCGGTTGGAAGTCTAATTCCCTGTCGCTGGCAGGAAGGGTGGTGTTAAGTCAGTGTTGTGCTCGCTCCTTGTGTATTTTCTTTCCATTTTCAAAATTCCAGTTTCTGTGCTAAAGAAACTAAATTCTATCATAGCTTCTTTTTTGTGAGGGGGGGTGCAGCGGATAAAAAAAATATCCACTGGTTAAATTGGAGTTCGGTTAGTAAACCAAAAAGATTGGGGGGGTCTAGGGGTCCCGAATTTATTACTCTTAAACAAAGCATTATTGGGGAAGTGGGTTTGGAAGTTTGCATCAGAGAAAGAGTCTTGGTGGAAGAGGGTGGCATGTGGTGTTTATGACTTGGATCCGAAATGCATAATGATGGGGAATTCGTGGCCAGGCCGTGCATCATGGATTTGGAGAGATGTGGTTAAAATTTCTTTTTCGATGATGGTTTTGGGGATTGTATTAGGAGGAATATGCGTTTGAAGACAGGGAAGGGGAATTATGTGCAGTTCTGGAACGATGTATGGTTGGGTGAAGTTCCTTTGAAAATACAGTTTCCTAGACTATGTTCTTTCGAGCAACAAATCGGGTAAAGTGATGGAGTTTAGGGTGAATAACGGCGCTGGTTGGGTGTGGGACATTCAAATGAGGCGAAATTTGGCGGATTGGGAGGTTGAACAGCTGTTGCAATTGATTTCTATGTTGAACAATATCTCAATATCGCCATGTGAGGAAGACTGTTGGATTTGGTCAGAGAATGGTGAGGGCTGTTTTTCAGTTAAATCTTGTATCAACATTTTCCTTGATCAAGATGGTAGTCAGCAGAAGATGGAGATCTGGGAGAGACATATTTGGGCAGGGATTGCTCCTCCACGGGTGGAGACATTTGTATGGCAAGTGGCTCACCAGAGAGTGGCGGTGAAGGAGGAATTACTGAAGCGAGGAGTGGTAGGGATTGATGATCCTTTATGCTCTCTGTGTGGTAGGGAAATGGAATTAGTTTCACATCTATTTTTGCATTGCGAGGTAGTATAGGGTCTGTGGGCCAGATTATTGAATATTTGGAATTTGTCCTTTGTGATTCCAAAGAATATCATGGACTTTTTCAATTTGTGGGATGATTTACTTCCGAATTCTTTGATATGGAAATTTATTCCAGGGGCGTTGATGTGGTCAGTGTGGAAATGCAGAAATGAGGTTATTTTTCATAAAGTTAAGCTGGATGTGGTGAGACTGTTCTTTATTGTTCGTTTTATAATAGCTTCCTGGTTTGTTGCAAAGTTCAAGGATGTGAATATTCCTTTAGACTCTCTTGTGGGAGATTTAAAACTTGCGGATTTGGTGGGAAGACAAGGAAATGGCATCTCTAAACCAATTTGCTGGGTTCCTCCTCCGGATGGGTTCTTAAAGCTCAATGTTGATGGAGCGATGGTAAAGGGTTGGGATAAAGGAGGCATTGGTGGTTTGATTCGGGATAATAAAGGTGTGTTGCTTCAATGGTTTTCAGAAAGAGTTGGGGGTGGTCCTCCTATCTTCGCAGAATTATTGGCGATTAAGAGGGGGTTATGTCTTCTGGAAGATTTAAGTTTTGTCCCTAATCGGAGGTTTATTCTTGAATCTGATTCAAGTAATGCTCTAAAGTGGATCAAGAATCTGGGTTTATGCACTCCTATGTTTCAAGTACTGGTGAAGGAGATAGTCTCTCTTATGGCAGGGAAGGATATCATTATTAAGCATATTTTGAGGGCTGCAAATTGGGAAGCTGACAAATTAGCTAAGGATGGGATAGGGTGATGTAATGGTTTCTGTCTGCTTGTATTGAGGAGTAGATAATTTTATTTCCTATGTTTAGCTGTTGTGTTTAAGTTTTATGTAATTTCTGGTGGTGTTTGCAGATGTTTAGGGTCTGCCTTTATTGTACTTTGTTTCATCTAATAAATTCTAGGCACTCTTTTCCTCCTTTCCTTGTCCTTCATGTTACTTTTATAACATAAATGTGAAAAAGGGGTTTTTAATGAGGCCTAATCTTCTATAAAAAAAAATGCTTTAAAAACCCTATAGTATATATTTTCAAAATGGTTTTTTAAAAATTATATATTATATATATTTTTAAAAAATCATTTTCAAAACTATATATATTATATGTATTTCAAAAACATTTGCAGATTATATAATATATATATAAATCGGACGAAAATGGGTGTCTATAGTTGCCTCTATTTGTCTTTTTTCGTGAAACGAAAAATAGGATAAAGATAAAAAGACACAAATTTGCGTTCGGTAGAGTTGACAATTGAATCTGATAGTTCAATTAAGGATAACTCCCTGTCGAATTGAGTTCCGGATGGCTCATCCGTCGCGAAGTCGAGTTCATATTGAAATGATATAAGATTAAAGCCGTATTTCGAAATTTGAATCGCAATGTGGCTTCTTGTTGCCCTTCGATCTTCTTCTCGGTTTAAAAACCTTGGTTTAAAATTTCGACTGGAAAATAATTCTTTGATTTCACCTTGTGGTTGATAGGCCCTCGGGCTGAATAAAATCGAACTCGAAAGGTCTTTGTTGACAGATAGTTTTTCTCGACTTAAACTGTGCTGCCGAAAAACAGTTTATTGTCACTAAGGCACGGCTAACCCAGGTCATCTTCTTAACTCGGCTACCACCGGAAAGTGGTGATTGATGTGTCATCGAGCTGAATGGAATCGAACTCGACAATTTTGTTGATAGATAACCCTTCTTGCCTTGAGATATGCTGTAAATGATGTGCATTTGAGCTGAGTGTAATCGAACTCGCAGGTCTTTTGTTGGCAGATAACCTTTCTAGCCTTGAGTTATGCTGCAAATGATGTGTCTTTGAGTTGAGTGCAATCGAATATGAAGGTCTTTGTTGACAGATAACCCTTCTAGCCTTGAGTTATATTATAAATGATGTGCCCTTCAGCTGAGTGTAATCAAACTCGAAGGTTTTTTGTTGGCAGATAACCCTTCTTGTCTTGAGTTATGCTGCAAATTATGTGCCTTTGAGTTGAATGTAATTTAACTCGAAGGTTTTTGGTTGGCAGATAACCCTTCTCGGCTTAAGCTATGCTGCAAATGATGTGCCTTTGAGCTGAGTGTAATCGAACTTGAAAGTCTTTATTGACAGATAACCCTTCTAGCCTTGAGTTATGTTGTAAATGATGTTCCCTTGAGCTAAGTGTAATCGAACCCGAAGGTCTTTGGTTTGCAGATAACCCTTCTAGCATTGAGTTATGCTGTAAATATTGTGCCTTGTAGCTGAGTGTAATCGAAGTCGAAGTCGAAAGTCTTTTGTTGACAAATAGCCCTTCTTGCCTTGAGTTATATTGCAAATGATATGCCTTGGAGCTAAGCGTAGTCGAACTTGAAGGTCTTGGCAGATAATCCTTCTAGCCTTGAGTTATATTGCAAATAATGTGCCTTTGAGTTGAGCGTAATCGAACTCCAAGGTCTTTTGTTGGCATATAACCCTTCTAGCCTTGAGTTATGCTGCAAATGATGTGCTTTGGAGCTAAGCGTAGTCGATCTCGAAGGTCTTTTGTTGGCAAATAGCATTTATTGCCTTGAGTTATATTGCAAATGATGTGCTTTGGAGCTGAGCGTAGTTAAACTCGAAGTTCTTTTGTTGGCAGATAATCTTTCTGGCCTTGAGTTATGCTGCAAATGTTGTGCATTGCAGCTGAGCGTAGTCAAACTCGAAGGTCTTTTGTCGGCAAATAACCATTCTCGCCTTGAGCTATGCTGTAAATGTTGTGTCTTTTAGCTGAGTGTAATCGAACTCGAAGGTCTTTTGTTGGCAGATAACCCTTCTAGCCTTTAGCTATGCTGCAAATGATGTGCCTTGGAGCTGAGTGTAGTTGAGCTCGAAGGTATTTTCTTGGCAGATAACCCTTTTAGCCTTGAGTTATACTGCAAATGATGTGCCTTGGAGCTGAGCGTAGTCGAACTCGAAGGTCTTTTACTGTCAGATAATCCTTCTAGCCTTGAGTTATGCTGCAAATGATGTGCCTTGGAGCTGAGCGTAGTCGAACTCGAAGGTTTTTTGTTGGCAAATAGCCGTTCTTGCCTTGAGTTATGTTGCAAATGATGTGTCTTGGAGCTGAGTGTAGTTAAACTCGAAGGTCTTTTGTTAGCAGATAACCCTTCTGGTATTGAGTTATGCTGCAAATGTTGTGCCTTGCAGCTGTGCTTAGTCGAACTCGAAGGTCTTTTGTTGGCAGATAGCCCTTTTCGCCTTGAGCTATATTGCAAATGTTGTGTCTTTGAGCTGAGTGTAATCGAACTCGAAGGTCTTTTGTTGGCAGATAACCCTTCTAGTCTTGAATTATGCTGCCAACAATTTCTTTATAATAATGGCTTCCTTTCACGGGTCAAGCCGGTCATAATTCTTCAGGTGGTTCCTCTGAGCTGGTCTGAACCAAGTATTATGATTTTTTGATGCCTCCCCTTCACGGAAAAACCCACCGATAAATTCTGTCAACCGGATATCTTTCGTCGTGGAATTGAAATCTAGCTTGAAAATGTTAACTGGAAACCTGTTACTCATTATTAAGTTAAGATGATCTGGATTCGTTATGAATTGGCTCCCAAACCCATCTGAAATTGATTCTGAGATCTGTAGTTATGCCAAGTCGGTTGAGATGTAGCTTCTCACTACTGAGTTAAGTAACCACCATCGATCTTTAAAGGAGCTTTCGAGTCGAGTATCTTTCGTCATGAGGTCGAAACTTAACTCTGAAAGCTGCAAAAAATTATGCATGTGAAAAATGATAAATGCTATTAAGTATGTCTAAGATGCATGTAATATGAATTAGCCTTGGACGGAGTCTCGTGCTTTGTCTGTCGATCTTGATCCTTGGAATTGATCATTCCCCATTTTTTCTCGGGTTGCAGCCTTTCACATTTGAGACTGTCCTGTTTGAAAATGTTTTTTCCTTCCTCTTATTTAGGAGGGAAAAATGATATGAAAATAGAAAAATTCTATAAAACATTACTCCTTAATTCAGGCTCGCAATCAAATCGAATTAAATTATAAACATGAGTTCAAAGAATATCAAAGGAATCAATAGCTCTTTTAATGCTTTCAGAGTTATAGATCTTTGACAAATATTCAAGTGGATGAGTTGGTTTTAGGTAGACCTAAGGTTTCAGTCATAAAAAATGTCATTTTTTTGATCATTGCAACATTCTTTTTCTTTGGCTTGGCATTTTAATTGGATGCGGACAAAATGACAACTAATATTATCAATTACTAGACCTTTTATTTCGGTTCTCTAAAATCTTCCATTTGTTCAAGTTTGTAAGCTCCTTTAACAAAGACAGTGCATAAATATCGGTCTAAAAATAAAATTCCTGAGTGCTCGTGTGAAGTTGACTATAACAGGTGCTCTTTAACTCCTTTAGCCCATTTTTATCGAAACTCTTTATTTAAATTTGCCATTTCTAGCTAGATGAATCCATAGAGCCGGGCATTTAACCAATTGCTCTACAGGGACAGCTTAATATCATTGTATAGATATTATAACCACCTTTATCAGACTAGCTGAATATTATCCATAAAGTCGGGATGTTTAACCAATTGCTCTAAAGGGACAACTCAAGTTTTATTGTATATTATAATCACCTTTACCAGGCTAGCTGAATCTTATCCATAAAGCTAAAGCGTTTAACCAATTGCTTTAGAGGGATAGCTCAAGCTTTATTGTATATATATATATATATAATTTGGGTATACGGATTCAACTTCTTAAGTTTATCAAGAAGAACCTGATAAAGTGTAGATGTTTTTTGAAAGTCAAGAAATCTTGTCTTTAGAGTTCAATTTCCAAGCAACTGACCTAAACTAGATTTACCTACTCGATTATTCTATCTGTGAAGATCATTATCATCATCGAACGTCTTAAACAAAAAGTATAAATATGTCACATGCAAAAGATGCCCCATGTTGTTCGCACCTATGCACATCTAAATACCAAGCCTCTTTTCATTCTTTTATGAGAAGAGAAAGCTATATCGGTTCTTGTAAGGGAAATGTATAGTGTTCGAGCTTTTCGGGGTAAAGTCCTTGTTTTGTTACTTTGTCAAAGATCTGTAACTCTGAATCATTTACATAGTTTTTTAATTCAACTGATATTCAAATAATTTCAAGTTGTAAATTTGATTCAATGCTCATCACAAATTCATTGAAATGTCCTCATAAAAAGAAATATGTCAAAGTTCAAAAGCAAGTTACCAAAAAAATATGAGAAAGTTCAAAAAACAAGTCTAAATAGGACTCTGCAAAATGGAATAAATCCTCATTAGGATGCCCCACTATTTCCAAAATGTCGAGGATTAGGGCTTTATATATACTTACTCCACATCTTTCAACCGTTTCATTTGTCGAGGCTTCTTTTGATGTACCCTCAAAAGCACAAATTTCTACTTTAGGAGTGTTCTTGCTTTCATCCTTTCTTATGAGACATCTCTTGTTAGTTAATGTAATGAAAAAAAAGAAGATAAAAGACAAAAAATAATGTGAAATATGCAAGAATGCATGATGCATGAAGTTTCGAGGCACTGATCCAAAAAATGTGTATGTTATTATAAATAATCCTCATTGGGGACGAAAGTGGTACGTCTTAGGAGACAAAAAACATTTTAATGGTATAGATCCCGAACAACCTCTGACAGGTTGATTCGTCTTCCGTCTTTTTCTATCACCGGTTGAATACCCTGTCGAACCGTTCCGGCTCCTTTGGCTAAACTGTGCAAGTGACGAGCTGCTTACCCCAAAAAGTCTCGAATGACTGCATCTCCGGCTTTCACTCTCTACTGAGCCTGTTCCTAACGAAAGTGCCATTAGAGTCTTCCATCGATAGGAACTATCCGAAGCTTGTTTATTGAATTTGTCAATAGTGACCTGTTGTCTTTAAAGGAGCTCTCCAGGTTAATAACCTTTTCTCGTCTTGCCCCTGCAAATTTTTGCCAACTCAAAAAGTTTACTTATGGTGTGCTCGGCGTAAATCTTGGTCCATCATGAGTATTCTTTGATCAAACTGAACTTCTAAGTTTTTCATCTCTTTTATTATAATCCCTTTGTCCATTAATACGAATTATTTACGTTTGACGAATACGTTTTTTGTGGATCAACACCACTTTTTGAATGATGCAAATGATGAAAATAAAATAAAAGGAAACAAAAATGAAAAGAGTTAGTGAGGTAAATCAAAACAATAATGAAAATGAAAAGTCCTACCCCACATGATATCTACCCAACATACTTATTATTTTGAACAAGTCCTAACCGCATAAATTTTTAGTTCTCATGTTTTGAACATAAAATGAGGCATGAAATGAATTCAATATAGCTTAGGGTTTGAAATGAAGTTTTAGGGTGGACTTTAATTCATGTAGTCTCCCGGTTTAGGTTCTAAAAACGGTACCCGAGCTCTTGCTGGTGCCACATTGGGCTTGCCAGACCCTTAGTCCTAAGCCAATTACAAGCTTGTGTGGACTAAGTTAAACTCGAGAGGAAACATTCCCTTATGCACGTACGATGAATAAATTCACATGAAGACATAAGGTATATGAATCCCGAAGGCTACTTGCTAGGTCCGCACGGTGAATAAATTCACATGAAGGCGTCGCTTTCACCCCCACTTAAATAGGGCTCAGAGCTCGGGTATATAGCATACGATGAAAAGCAAGTTTGAAAAGATGAAATCATTGAAAAAACCGTCAGTACAACTATTTATTTGAAAAAAATAATCAAAAGTAAGTAATAAGGATCGAAAAGTTACCTTAAAATTCAAACTTACCCTTTTCGTTAAAAAGACAATTAGAAATTACCTTAGCCTGACTCACTTACCTGTCCCCAGCGGAGTCGCCAAGCTGTCGGAACCGCCTCCCGGTTGGGCCCAGAATTGAGCTTCGACTTGGATTAAATGCTTAGGAGTCGCCACCGACCATTTTAAAACGAATTTAGGTGGGTCGGACACCATCTTCCTGATCTATGTTGTACCAGAAACGCGTCGGGTTCGGAGTCGGTTACGGTTAAGGAAGGATTAGAACCCTTGAACCGCCCTTTCGGTACCAATTAATTTATCGGTTGTCTTTAATTGCGAAAATTAAGAACTTAAATTAAAATTTAAAAATCTGATTCGAATTGTTTATCTTTGATTAGTTGGAATTTTTCTAAAAAATGATCGAAAATGTTAGTTAATAAATAATAAATAAATCAAAGAAAAACGTAGGAAAAAAATAATAAAAAGAAAAATAACAAAATAATAAAATCAAAAGAGAATAAATGAAATAGAATAGATTAAAAATAAGAAATAAATAAATAAAAATAAATCGCAGAAATAAAATGAGATAAAATAAAAAAAGAAAAATAAAATAAAATAATAATACTAATAATACTAATGATAAAAAAAAAAAATATATATTAATGATAAAATGGACTGAATTAAAAAAAACCAAGTTTGAGGGTCAATCTCAAAGTAAATTGAAGAATAATGAGAATTCAAGGGAAAAATATAATGCTTACAAAATAGGGGGACCAAAGTTGCAATTCCCCCCCTTAATTCACGAAAACGTGCAGATCTTCTACATCCCTGAGTCGGTTTGTGGGTCGAATCCAAGTTGCAGACGGGTCACATACAAACCAAAATAACGCCAAAAAAATTCTTTTCACTCATTCTCCCTAAACAACAATCCAACCCCCTCCTAAATCCTCTGAACTCTCTCAACGCCCAGAACACGATGGAAACACGACCACCACCCTGGTGGCTAAACGTCGCCCAACTTCGTCGAAAATCGCTCCGGCCACCACCCACGGTGGTTGGTAAAACCCAAAATTTACCTAAACGTTCTTCCCGTCACCCGAAGCGAAAATTGAATCCCAAATCGCCTAAAAATGCCCTGAGTGACGTAGATCTAGCCCGAAAGGTTCGGGTTTTACCTTCTCTCGATGTGTCCTTTGGACTTCCTGGCGAACCTTCCCCTTTTAGTGTGTGATGCCTTTTTGTGTGGTGGGCTTTGGTTGATTTTTTATGGTGTTGTATTTGGGTTATTTTGCTCTCTGTGTTTTGGTTGTTCGATGATGTTGTCGTGTTGATGGTTTGGTTCACTGTTTTCTCGTGGCTATGTTGTTATGGGTTTCGATTTGTTGTGTTTGGGGTACTGTTGATGTTCTTGGTTTTCTCTGTCAATGCTTTGGTACCCTGTACTGTTGGCTTCACCGAGGCTTTTATAGCTCGGTTTTGGCCGTTTGGATCCCTACGATCTCGGGATTGTGGTTGTTAGTTGACTGAGATCTTCGTGCATGTTACACCGGTCGCCTCGGGATGATTTAGTTCCGTTGGTGCGGCCGGAAAATGCGTTGGCCGTTAGTTTGCTCCCTAACGGCGTCGTTGACCTATTGACTGGTTATGTTAGGGTTTTTCAAACCCTAATAGTCTTGGGCTGGTTCAGGCCCTCCAAACTGGACTGTATTGGACTGGACCTGGAAAAAAACTAAAAAGAAATTAAATTAAAAAAGAAGATAAACAAAAACCTATAATAAAAATATATTATATAATTTTTTTCAAAAAATGTTTTTAAAATTATATATTGTATAAGTTTTTCAAAATGTTTTTTAAAACTATATATTATATATATTTTTAAAATGATTTTCAAAACAATATATTATATAGGTTTTCAAAATGCTTTAAAAACCCTATATTATATATTTTCAAAATATATATTATATATATTTTTAAAAAACCGTTTCCAAAACTACATATATTATATGTATTTCAAAAACATTTGCAGATTATATAATATATATACATATATATATATATATATATATAAAATCAGACGAAAATGGGTGGCAATGAAGGAGCAATCCAAAATTTGTTGGCTTGGAATAAAAGCAAATTGAGAATGATTGATTATGTCACTGATACAAATTCTTAGCCTTCTTGATAGACACTTCGAAAGAATCTTATACATCCCTCCAACCAAACTAATGGGCCTATAATCATCTAGGCTTCCTGGATTTAGTCTCTTCGGGATGAGTGTGATAAAAGTGTGGTTGATTCCATGCTCCCAGTCTTTTCCTAAGAAGAAGTTCTGGAAGAATTTCATTATGCCTTCTTTGAGGAATGTCCAAAACTTTTTGAAGAACCCCATATTCAACCCATCAGGCCTTGGAGCTTTGTTGCTGTCACAAGAATTAATAGAAATTAATGCTGAAAAGGAGAAAGCTTTGCAGCTATCGAAAATTTTTGAAGAGCAGGTTTGATTTCTTTGTTCTTTCTTTCCGAAAATACTTGGTTTCTTCTCACTGTAATATTATTTGCGAGTGATATGAATGATGGTAATAATTACTTCTATGGAACAAATTTCTCAGGATAATTTCATTCAGGGAGAAGATGAAGACGAGGAGGCTGATAATCACCCTATTCGTATCTATTCGTAATATCAGTTATGTGTTTAATGTAGTCTGTTTCTGTTAGTGCCATATCTATCCTTCTTTGTCTTTCTTGAGATGTGCAAACCAAACACTCCAACTGATTATGTGAATAACTAAATCATTAATTATAAATAGAGCAGATGATTTAGGATATTGTTGGAAGTCGTGGATTAAGTTATTGCTATTTACAAACCATGTTTTCACTACTGTATCTGTATTCTGTAAAATACTTCATATGGGTAGGCCAAAAGGGGTATTGTTCATTGTCATGAATAGGGTCTAATGTTTCATTTTGAGTGTCGTCTTTTTTTATTCTTGTATCTCAGCACTTGACTGGTTGGCTCTTTTTTTCATGGACAATCTGTTAACATATGATCTTGCTGGGGTTAAAGTTCTTCATGGCCTTGACAAAGTGGTGGATGGTGGTGCTGTCGTTTTAACACTCAGATCAAAGCATACTTGCTAATGGTGACATTAATGAAGGTATAGAAGTGTTGGGTGCCACTCATGTATTCTTTTTTTTGTCTATGTTTATGATGTGACAGATTTTTGTGTAACAGAGCTTTCTGGTATGTTCCGACAGATATTGTTATGCTAGAAAATACTGAAATTAGAGAGCAGAAGCGGCGAGATGCGGCTTACAAGGCTACAAAGAAGAAAAACGGGGTTCACGAGGGCAAGTAAGATTCTGATTTATATAGCTGAATCTAATAGTTTACCTCAGTTGAGTAAAATTAAATATAAAACCCTAGATTGAACAAAATAATAGGTCAAGCTTTTTACCCTTCTTTTTTAAACAAATTTTGAAAAACGTGTGAAAAAAGTAAGTGAGAGAAGCTGGAGCTTCTCTCTAACCTAGGAGATTTCAAATTTCAAAATTCCAGGGGCAGAGGGAGAGAGAGAATATGAGTGATGTTTAACAGCCTTCTCCATCGTCGTCCGTCGCTTGCCTTCCACCGTCCGTCGCTTGCTGTCCGCCGTCCTCCGTACTCCGACCACCGTCCGCCGCCACACATCGACCTCCTTTTGACGCCTTTTTTTTTATTAAGGATCATCATCTATCCATAGAGTTTCCTTTTTCCTAGTTTATTTCGATTGATTCCCCTTCAATCGGAGCAAATCTAAACGCCTTTCTTCGCCGATTTTTTCATCAGCAGTCTTCAAAGTTCGTTCCAGCTGTGCACGCCGGAAGCTCGTGAAAAAACCCAAGTATTAAACTGTGAACACCCACTGCCGTTCACCTGAATTTTACTGTCACTGTTCAGGAGCTCTATTCAGAACGCTGCTGCTGGTTCTGGGTTTTCACGCACGTTGTCATAAACCTTTTCATCTCTGGTTTTTTTGGTTCAAAATTAAATAGTTTGGAAGCCTTTGCATTCAAAATGACATTCAAGAATCGCGATGAAGCAAGAGAGAAACGGGCTGAAACCTCAGCTCGTCAGACTAAGAATAGTCGTCAGTCCGAGATAGAGGAAAAGAAGAACGTAAATCCTTTGAAAAAACCAGATGTTAAGACGAAACGGGTGGATTTTATACTGTCGAAGGTGACTGATGCGGAGCATCAAAATCAAAGAGATGGGCAGCAGACAAAGACTGCATAAATCAGAGGAGGTGAGGAAGAAGCTGAGTAGTACAGTGGCAGCGGAAGAATATGAGAGGATGGTGTTGGTGACAAACAAGAATAGGAATGATTCGTTGGTTGAAGCAAGGAGTGTGGAAGGGGCCATTGCGCAGATTTCTGAGGCGGAAATCCTTCCTCAGGATTCTCACGTTTTTAACTACTGGAGGAAGAAAGATTATCCAAGAATCAACAATGGGTTTAGAACTGGCTGCTTTACGTTATACATTGATAATTTACCAGAGAATATCCATTGGAAGCGGTTTGGATCGTTATTTTGCCCATACGGTCAGGTTATTGACTGCTTCATTCCAACTAAAAGAAATTCAAAGGGGGTACGTTTCGGTTTCATTCGCTTTGCTACAATTGGAGAAGCACGGAGAGCGATCTCAAAGATGAATGGCGCTCGCATTGATGGTAGTAAAATTGGAGTCTTTTTTTCTAAATACAACACAAGACATTCTTTTTGGAGAAAGTCTTCGCCAGTTGACCACCTAAAGCCTGAGAGAGAAAATGTTACAAGAAATAATCTCTATACAGTAAATGGTGTTGTTGACGAAGCTAAACTTCAAGTTTTGGATAACTGCCTAATAGGGTGGTGCAAGAATTATACCAAAATCGGTGATCTTGCTAGCCAAATGCAAGACAAATGACTCAACGGTTTCTCGTTAATGAGAGCTGCTGGGAATGTAGTTCTCATGATATTCGAGGATTCTGATACGTTGAGAAGGGTTAAGAATGAACAATCAGAGACTCTTGCAGGGTGGTTTTCTAGAGTTGAAGTTTGGTCGGAGAATCTAGTGGTAGAATGTCGTCGAGTATGGGTAGTTTGCAAAGGGATTCCTTTTCACGCGTGGAATTGGGGTACTTTCAAGAACATTGCGGCTAGGTGGGGCAAATTAGTATCAATTGATGAAAGCTCTCAGTTTCCTTCATCTTTTGATCGTGCAAAACTTCAAATCCTCACGAGACTAAAGTAAGGATTAATGAGTCCTTGAGTTTGAAGGTCGGTTCTAATTCTTTTGAAATCATGGTGCATGAAGTTGAGCCTTCTTTCAAACCAAACTCTTGGATCCCTGAGGAAGTCGATGATTCTCCAGATCTGAATTGTTTTCTCGGGGCAACGTTGGAGAATTCTCTGTCAGGATCGTCAGTGTCATCCCCAGGTTTAAATTACCCCGTCGAAGATGTTGCAATTGAAGGTCCCCACTTAGAAAAGGTTTCACTCATAAGAGTGTCATAATTGATGAGAAACCGAGTAACAAATTGGGGTTGCACACAATGGAGGCTGTGGGTCATTCAAAATTAAATATCGTGGAGCATCTAGCTAATAAATCAGTTGATCATTCTGATGGTGTTAGCCTCAGGGCCTCGGAATATGCTCTTATGATGGGTCTCATTACTTCTCATGGTTCATCTACTGACACATTTCAATTAAAGGAAGATATCCCAGTGGTGCCCCCTATCCCTGCGAAATTAAGAACTAATCGTGTGGCGAAGAAATGCAAGACAAAGAAAAGAGTTCTGAATTTATTGGCAAGGAAACATTGATTGAAGGGAAGGAAGTGTGGTTTTGGTTCATTAAAGATAATTATCGAGCTGATTTTTTTGGTGATTTTGATACATGTTGGTATTTTTGTGGAGTTCCCTTCAAAGGCGAATGTTTTTGGTTTAATGGTTTTAGGTGTTGTTTTTATGTATGTTATGTCATTAAATGTTGGGTTGTTTTCCTATTGATGGAGGTTTATCTTAGGTATAGGGTGATTGCCTTTTGATTTTTGTGGTCGAGAAGGTGAGAGCTTTAGGTGATTATGTTTTTTGTAATGGTGTTTATCCTCGTTTGAGGGTATTTCGTGTTTTCATATGTAATGAGGCGTTTTATTCAATGAAATATAAGGTACTCTTTTCTTCCTTCCTATGTTCGTTAACATACTTCTTAGTATGTGGACGAATACGAAGGGAGTTTTTAATGAGACCTCCAACTTCTATAAAAAAAAGATACTGCCACAACATGACGATCCAGCCACAGATGAGGTTTGTTTATAAGTTTTTCCCTCAAGCTTAATCTTTCTTTTCCTTTTCAAATTTCAATTAAAATTCAAAGCTTCCTTGTATTTTTATTGGAAGAAAAGTGGCATTTGGTCATTGGTGACTTTTTTTTACTTATTATTTATTTTCAGGGAGTGACTCTGGATGAAATGGGGCGCTTTACTGGTGAAGCTGAAAAGTAATTAGAAGAGGTAATTTTTAATGGTCTTTTTGAGCTGTTAGAAGCATATTTTAACATTTTTATGCTACTGATGTTCCCTCTTATTTTTGTTTTATTCACTTGGCAACTCCGTAAAAGGTTGCAATGAGTTCCCACTAATAACCGTGTTGAAGATCTTAATAATGCTGCGAAGATTTCATCAGATTATTACACCCAAGAGGAAATGCTTCGGTTTAAAAAGCCCAAAAAGAAGAAAGCTTTGCCGAAGAAAGAGAAGTTGGATATAGATGCCCTTGAAGCAGAAGCCATCTCTGCTGGGCTTGGTGCTGGAGATCTTGGATCTAGAAATTACTCTAGAAGACAAGCAATTAAAGAGGAGGAGGCCAAATCTGAGGTTGTAAAGAGAAATAATGCTTACCAAGCAGCATATGCCAAAGCAGATGAGGCATCAAAGCTACTGAGGCTTGAACAAACTCTTACAGTAAAACCCGAGGAAGATGAAAATCAAATTTTTGCTGATGATGAAGAGGATCTTTATAAATCGCTTGAAAAAGCAAGGAGGTTAGCTCTTAAAAAGCAAGAAGAAAAATCAGCTCCACAAATTATCGCGCTTCTTGCTAGCAAAGCCACCAGCAATCAAACTACAGATGATCAAAACACCTCCATTGGAGAGGCACAAGAAAACAAGGTTGTAATCATAGAGATGGAGGAGTTTGTTTGGGGTCTTCAGCTTGATGAAGGTTTACTTTCTTTCAAAATCTGGGTCACTATGATCTTGTTCAAAACATATCCACCTTTCTTGTGTGTTCGTGTACTGCCAGATGCTGTATCATCTGCTAATAGCCTGGATTATGTATTTTATCCTCACAGTTTTCTGTGCCCGGGTGGTCTCATGGAAGTTTTAGGTTCTAGATTTTACACCACTTATGAATTTTTGTCTTAGTTTTTATTTTGTTTTTTGAACATCCCTCTTTTATCTTTTGGCCACAAGTGCTTAGACCAACCAACTTGATCCCTTCTTCAATAATAATAAAAAGAATGTTATCTTTATGCTCATAATTTCTTTCTGGTAATAACGTTTAATGTTGGTTTGGTGTTCAGAAGCACATAAGCCCGACAATGAAGATGTTCTCATGAATGAGGATGAAGTGCCGGGAGCTTCTGAACAAGAAAGAAAAAAAATTGCATAAAATGAGGTGGGTGGATGGTCGGAACTCGGAAGTAGCTGATGCTAATGCTGATGAAAAGCCTGCAAGTGAGGATAAGGATGAGATTGTTCCAGATGAAACCATTCATGAAGTTGCAGTTGGTAAAGGATTATCAGGTGTACTGAAGCCGCTTAAAGATCGAGGAACACTTACAGAAACTATTGAATGGGTTGGCCGGAACATGGACAAGAAAAAGAGCAAACTTGTTGGCATTGTAGACGAAAATCATCAAAATGATAGATTTAAAGATATTCGCATCGAAATGACAGATGAATTTAGCCGAATTGTAAGGACTTCAATCTGATCTATATTTCTTTATTAAGTCTATGCCTTGGGAGTATAATCTATTATATTAATGTCAAATAACAGAAAAAATAAAACTAATTTTGTCAAGGATTATAAATGCTTTAAGCTCATAGCATGCTGAAGTGTACTGTTTTTGGTATCAAAATTTGTGGTCTAGAACAAGTCCAATGTTGATATATTTAAAATTAATGTCTTATTATCTGTGCATTTGGGCTTACAAATTAGGACCTTGTCTTCTCCAGATGACTCCCAAGGAAGCCTTTCGGATGCTTTCTCATAAATTTCATGGCAAGGGGTAGGGATGGGCATGGGACCTGAACCCGACGGGTTCTGACCCTACCCGATTGGGTCAGTTTTTTAAAAAAATGGGGGTTGGGTCGGGTCATTTTTTTAAAGGTGATGTTCGGGTCGGGTAGGATTCTGGTGTAGGGTGAAAAATACCCGATCCGATCCGGAAAAAAATATAATTTTACCTAATATATTTAGGAATAATTACAATAATATCCCTTTATATATTGTTTTTTTTTCAATTAAATCACTGTTATATTCGTGAAAGTGACACTTTTAAAAAAAAATCATGAGTGAGAAAGTTAAAGAGAGAGCGAGTGAGAACTAGGGGGTAGTGCTTCTTCACACAAAGGTAGATCTTTATCTGGAGGAGTTTCGTGGGTTGCCTTTGTGGACATCCTTAGTAGGAGAGTGAGCAAAAGGGAGTTATGGGATTGTTTTAATCTTTATGGCAAAGTGATTAAGGTGTTCATTCCTTTCGTTAATAGGAGACCAAATTATAAGTATTGCACATTTGCCTTTGTGCACTTCGCAAGTAGAGAGGATTTGTTTCTTGCAAAGGGAGGTTGAATAATGCATTGATTGATGTGAGGAAAATTTCGGTGTCGATTGCGAGATTTCAGAGGAAGAGTAGTTCGAGGAGTTTGGAGCGTAATAGTGTGGTGGGGGCAAGGAGTGCAAGAGCAGAGGAGCATCAGGGAAGAAGCTTGAAATCCCGAGTCCATGATGGTGGGAAGATGTTGTAGAACAAGCTTTATGATTGGAGGTCATATAAGGATACGGTTGTGGGAGTTAAGAAAGGTGAGGGCACGAAGGTGAGTAGATATGGAGTTAACAGGGGAGTGTATAGTTATGGAGTTTCTAGAGAGGGGAAGAAACCTCTGGATGTGTTCATTCCAAAGGAGGAAAGTTCTTGGTTGAGAGCGTCTTTAACAGGAATTTGTAAGGAGACCTTTGAAGTTGATTTCGGGCAGAGGGCGCTTAAAACTGACGGTATCAATGCTAAGGTGGTTCGTTGGGGTCATGCTTTTAATGCATGCTTAGTAGTTTTCCGCTCTGTAGGGGAGAAAGTTGCAACGTTGGAAGAGAAATGGGAGGTTCTTTCATTCTAGTTTGATAGGTTGGAACTTGTCTTGGACGTGAATAATGTCCCTTTGATGTACTGTAAGGTTTATTTGATAGGTGTTCCTTTAAACTACTGGTCAGTTGATTTTTTCACAAGTTTAGCTTCTAGATGGGGCTCTATAGTGAAGATTCAGGATCAATCTGTTCAGAGATCGGATTGCAGAGTGGCTCGCTTGCTGGTAAGGGTTGCAAGTCTGTTCGATATACATCCTCAGGTCTATGTTAAAACGTTCGGTACGTCGTTTACTGTTAAAATTAAGGTGGAAAGAGGTGAAGATTTTTTTCCGATGTTAGACGAGGTGGTTGAAGAAGTCGGTACAGTGGATCCTTGGGCGGAGAATTCACAGAATTGGAGCCAAGAGGATGAAGTGGAGGGCAAGATGGGCTAATGGGTAGTCAGAAGATGTCAGGCTCATAGGTCAGAGTGGAAGCATGGGTCTGGGATTCTCCATGTGGGGTTGGCACGCTTGGCGAGGGGTGTGTCAAGGAGAAAGCAGTTTGTGATTGTAGTGGGGCTGTTAATTTATGTTTGGTGGAGACATCATCTGGTGGAGTTCCAGGTCAGCAGGAAGTGTTGGGGGGATTTATTGATGGAAGAGAAAAGGGCTTGAGCAGGGGAGTTTTCTCTTTGGGGGCTGGAAATTGTGACCTAGAGAATGGGTTAAATTTTAGAATGGGGTCGGTGGAGATTAGTGGGCTTGCAAATGGGTTTTCTAGTCATAAAAGAGTTGGTAATAAGTCTGTTATAATTAGTGAATTGGGGGATGATATACAGACAGTTTATCGGATGAAGAAAAGGGAAGTTTTTCAGCAGTCAGTCTTGAAGGATGCGACTCATGAAGATGGTTCAGAGAAGGAAGGTTCTCATGGTTCACTTTTGAGTTTGAGTGTCAGAGAGTTAGATGGGAATCAAGGTGTGAGATGCTCAATAGTTCCTTTGGATGACAAATGGAAATCACTGGGAGTGGAGGGAATTAGTTTTAAAAACTCGTTCCAATTTCTGTCTTGTCCCTGGAATAATGCGGCTCATAGGAAGTTAACAATTGCTCCCACTAATTCTGGTAGTTTCGGCTCGGAGGGTGAAGTTTCTATTACTTTTCTTGATAGAGTATATAGAAGGGTGGATAGGAGTTTGTGTAGGGATTCTTTGGACCAAGATAGCAGAACTTCAGAGTATTCACACCCTTCGGGTAATGCAAGAAGTGAAGTAGCTGCTACCATAGAGGTATGTGACATGTTAGGGATTTCTTTTAAAGAAGGGCATGAAGTTTTCGAAGATGAGATCATGAGGATGGAGTTGAAAGGGGTTCCACGGGATTCCTGAGTGTTGGTGACTGGTTGTTCTTGGTTGTAATGATTGTTTTTTAAATGTCTCAATTTAAAATGATCTCCTGGAATGTTAGGGGACTGGGGAAATCAGAAAAAGTCCGAGCTGTTGCTAGATTAGTCACCAGAGTTAAACCAACCATTCTGCTTCTGCAGGAGACTAAACTTAATAATTTCTAGAATGGTTTATGGAGGAAATTGGGGGGTATCTGGTTGAAAGGTAAAAGCTGTCAGCCAGCGATTAGTTCTGCGGGGGGCTTAATCTGTTTGTGGAATGAAAACTTTTTTGAAGTCAATAGGGAATTTTTTCATAACAGATTTATTGCTTTGTCAGGGAAATTTAAGGCGAATAATTTTGAACGTGTATGGTCCGGCTGTAGAGGCTGATAAGGAGGAGTTCTTTAGAGATCTGAGCAGTTTTGTGCAAACTCTAGAATTGCCAGTGTGCTTAGGGGGGATTTCAATGCCTACCTTGATCCAAAGGAGAAAATTAGAGTGGCTCAGAATTGGCATTCTTTGGATATTTTTAACGCTTTTGTTCAGGGTTTTAATTTTTTGGACTTACCGTTAGTTGGAGGGAGGTTTACTTGTGCAATAATAGGGAGTCTTCCACATGGATAAGATTAGATCGGTTTTTATTAACGGACATCTTCTTTCAGAACTTTCCAAAAGTAATTCAAAAATTACTACCTAAATCCCTTTTCGACCATAATCCTTTGTTGTTTGAAGAAGATTTCATAGAATAGGGTCCTAAACCTTTTCAAATTTTCAATTATTTGCTAGAGGAAGATGAGTTTGTTGGGGTGATACAAAACTCGATTTATAATTTGAAAATGGAGAATGATCGAAGGGGTTTGCTTAGAATATTGCAAGGAACAAAGAAAGTGATCAAAAACTGGCCAAACACAAATCAGAATGGGTTTTCTGAGCAGATTTCTGATGTGGAAACAAGGATACATGATTTGGAATTGAGGTATCAAGGTGGGGGTATTTCTGCTCATGACTGGGAGCAACTTTTGCGTTGGAGGAATGATTTGTGGAATTTGCACACGAATGAGGAAAGTATTTGGCTACTGAAGTCAAGACAAAAGTGGATAATGAATGGGGATAGAAATACAAGATTCTTCCACTTATGTGCTTTGAATAGGAGCAGAGTAAATGCCATTTCGACATTGAAAATGACGGGTGTTGAGGTTACTGATCCGGACCAGATTAGAGCTGCTATTTCTTTTTTTTATCAACTCTGGAGGTGGACGAAATAAATCTGAACTTTGCCAAATTAACAGATGATCAAAAAGAAGGTTTAGAGGCTGTTTTTTCGGAAAAGAAAGTTTGGGAGGCTATCTTCTATTCGGACAGCGCGAAGGCACCTAGTCCGGATGGGTTTACTATGGGATTTTTTAAAAATTTATGGCCTATAATAAAGAAGAATATTATGAAATTTGTTCAGGATTTTCACAGAGGTAGGAATTAGGAGAACGGGGTTAATCATTCTTTCATATCTCTAATCCCCAAGAAACTGACTCCAGAGGTAATTGAAGACTTTAGACCCATAAGTCTTGTTGGCAGCTTATATAAAATAATTTCTAAAGTGCTTTCGAAGAGGCTAGTTTCAGTTATTAAAGGCATAGTTAGCCCATCGCAATTTGCCTTCATTCCGGGAAGACAATTGCTTGATTGTGCTCTTTTGGCTAATGAAGGCATAAAGTATTGGAGGAAAAAGGGGAGGCGTAGAGTAGTCTTCAAAGTTGATTTTCGTAGGACTTATGATTCGGTGGAGTGGCCAATTTTAATGAGAATAATGAAGGTTATGGGTTTTGGGGATAAATGGATTTCTTGGATTGATCGATGCATTCCTACAGCCTCAATCTCGGTGTTAGTGAATGGATCTCCAACTGAGGAATTCCACATTACTAAAGGGTTGAGACAAGGCTACAGTCTGTCCCCTCTCCCGTTCAATTTAGTTGGGGAACTTTTAAACTTAATGTTGATCAAGGCTGCTGATTTAGGGCTTTTTCAAGGGTTCAACATCGGTAGGGATGGTAATTCCTTTCATTTGACCCATCTACAGTTTGTAGATGATCTAATATTATTCTGCAGTGATT